AGTACTATTCTGTTCATCATGCTGTTTATTATCTGGTTGCTTTTTTATTTATTTATTTTTCTCTATTGTGTTGGTATTCTATAAGCCTTGTGAGTCTTATGATTTCCAGTGTTTTTCTTCTGGGATATTTTGATATTTTGTTCCAATATTTAGAACTCCTTTGAGTAATTCTTGTAGAGCCAGTGTAGTGGTAACAAATTTCCTCAGTGTTTTCTTGTCTGAGAAAGCCTTCATTTCTCCTTCATTTATGAAACTTAGTACAAGATCCTTGGCTGTCTGTTTTTCTGTTTGAGGATATTGAATATGGGGCCTCAATCCCTTCTGTTTTATAGGGTTTCTTCTGAGAAGTCTGCTGTTAGTCTGATGGCTTTGCCTTTGTAAGCTATTTAATGCTTTTGTCTCACTGCTCTTAAAATTCTTTTCCTCACATTAACTTTGCATCACTTGATAATTATATGCTTTAAGAATGACCTTTTTTGTAATGAATCTTCTGGGGGTTCTTTGGGCCTCTTGTATCTGATTGTTTAAATCTCTGGTAAGGCCAGGGAAGTTTTCCTCTATTTTTCCCTCAAATAGGTTTTCTTAACCTGTTGTTTTCTTTTTTTCCTCAGGAGCATTTATGATTCTTAGGTTTAGACATTTTACATAATCTCACATTTCTTGGAGACTTTGTTCTGTTTCCTTGATTCTTTTTTTTTTGTTATTTCTGTTTGGGTTAATTCAGAAGCCTTGACATCAAGTTCTGAGATCCTTTCTTCTACTTGTTCTAGTCTATTGTTAAAGCTTTCTGCTGCATTTTGTATTTCCCTGAATTAGTCTTTCATTTTACAATTTTCAGCTTTTTTTTTTAAGGGGTCTTTCTCTTTGGAGAATTTTTCATTCATGTCCTAATGTTGGTTTTCAACTTCCTCCTGAATTTCATTGGGTGGTTTTTATAATCAACCTTTTGAATTCTGTCTCTGGAATTTCAATGATTTCATTTTGGTTAGTCATTGCTGAAGAGTTAGTGTGGTCTTTTGGGGATATTGAAGAACTCTGTTTTTTTGTATTGCAGAATTATTTCTGTTTTTTTCTCATTTGGATAGGCTGTTTCTTCTTGTTTAAGATTGGTAGGGGCTGGCATAGGCACTGTAGGGTTCCCTTGGTTATATATAACTTTGGTGTGGTGAGTTTTTCAGTTGCCAGGTGTGGCGGTCCTGTGCTGGGTAATTCCACTGGTTCAAGGCATCCTGAGTGACCAGGGTCACTTGTATAGTGGTGTTAGCTGGGGTCTTGGATCAGACCTTCCTCAGATCTGAAGTATTATATCAGATGTAATGGGCTTTGCTGGAGAGAGAGAGAGAGAGAGAGAGAGAGAGAGAGAGAGAGAGCTGTGATGGTGGCTGTGGGTTTTCTGCCTGGCCTGTGTTGCTCCAAGGAAGTACCCAGCCAATCTAGATGGTGGGCAGGGCTGTGGGGATTACCCAAATTGTCTGTTTTGAGCCCTTTGGGGTGGCAGTGTGGGGAGCAGGGAAGAGCTCAAGCTCCCTACTTGTGTGCACTGTTGACTACTCCAGTAGGGATTGGAAGGGAATTGCCAGCTACTGGGGTAGTGCTGTTGTGCCAATGAGAGGTTGCTATGGCAACAAATCCCACTGCTCTTCAGTCTTAGCCTCAGGTGGTCTGCATTCCGAATATCAAAGTGAAGCTGGCCTCAGGACCTCAGGTATTCTCATGGCAGTCTTCCCCAGTCAGTAACTGTCTGTCACCATGGAGTTTGCCCTTGGGACCCACACCCTTCCAGGCCATCTAGAGAGCAGCCATCAGCAAGCATTGAGTTTCTGGTGGCTGGCGCTGTTCAGGGACAAGCCAGAATTTGAACTAAGATCTACTTGACTCCAAATTCTTCACCATGCTACACTTGGCTGGCATGGAGTGCAGTATAACTGTGTTGCCTCCTATATTCTGGATGTTCTGGTTCTATTAGTTGAGACTAAGATTTCATTAATCTTTTTGGCAGCAATATTGTAGCACTGACTTACATTAAGTTTGTATTCAACTAAAATCTACCAAATATCTTAAACATATGAGCTTCTGTCTGGTCTGGCATTCTCATTCTCATCTTATCTCAGTAATTAATTTTCAGTATAAATGCAGGATTTGGGGTGCTTTCAGCCCAAATTTCTGGATTGCCAGGATAATTTTGAATAGTGAGTCTATCATCTATGATGTTAACTCCTCTTCTAGATATATAACCATGTATATCTTTGATACGTATCTTTGCTTTTTGTTTATCTGGTCATTCATATAATTTTGAACAGACTAGAGTTAAATAAATAATCTATATAGCATATCTATTCCTCTCCCAATGTCTTTGAAATGTACTTTTCTAAGATTTTGGACAAATGTTTGGCCATGTTTATAGTCTTCTTTTATTACTGTTATTAGTATAAAGATAATATGGCCACTTTATTTTAAGATTCTGGTTGGCATAATGTTTAGAATATCAGCTATATTTATTGCTTTGGTTGAATTCTGAACAATGCATTTATTTGATAGGAAATAGAGTTTTGTACTTGTTCTACTCTTCAAATTAGGCAACTGCCAGAAGATATCAGGATAGTTAATACTCTTTTTTTATAATATGTTTTGGCACAAAATGTTATAATCTCTACTGAGAATCATCCGTATTTCTTTTTTGCATGGACAGTCTATGATATACCACTGTAGCGGCATCATTGTTTTTCTTTTTAGTTCCTACTTTTATTGTGTGATATAATTCTACTATTAAGCTCATGAGTTTCCATAGAGGATTAACTTTGGGAAAGGGTATTGGACTTGGCTTTGAAAATCCCTGCGTCGGGAACTGACCAGGCTGTGTGAGTTTGTGCAGGTCACTTAAGCTTTGTGGACCTCAGTTTCCTCATATATAAGATAGAGATAATAATGTTGTTGTTTGTTACTCAAGATATAAAAGTAGGTTAGGTTAAAAAAAATAGGTGACCAACTGTAGGTGGCTTATATATACATAGTGGATTTGTTTCGCATAAGAAGACATCAAGAGATATGCAATGTAGCACAGGAATGATAGCCAATACAGATATTAGGGGCTTAAACTCTTTTCAGTTTTCTGTTCAACATTCTTAGTGTGTAAACCTTTGCCCTCTTGCTTCTTGACTCATCACAAAATGGCTACTCTACTCTGGGCCTCATGCCTATGCTTGAGACACATAGAACAGGAAGTAGTAAAAGGCTGAAGGGATAAACTTATTTTCTCTTAGTGTGCTCTGACTTTCAAGTTGGCAAGGGAAGTCTCCCTTTGGAATCTGCCTGTAGCTCATCAACCAGAACTTTTGCTGTAAGGAAAATTGTATAGTGTAGCTTTTCAGTCTCCATAACAGATAAAGACAAGGAAGAAGGGAGAAGGGATTGAGTTTAGGGCTTGGGTCAGCTAGTCTACAGAGTCTGCCACATAAGTTGATAGGATTGTTGGAAGAATTTAGAGAGACAATATAACTTAAACGTTTTATAGAATGCAATTCAAATAACTACAAGCTGTATTAATTATTCCTCTTGCCTTCTGTTGGATAGTCTTAGAGACTAGAATATATGCTTGAACGAATTTATTCTGATTTGGCATTTAAGTCTCAGAAAATCTGTGAGATTAATTATTTATGTTAAATGAGTTGTCCATATTATAGAAATTTGTAAATATGTTTAGGCATAAATATTGTATTTCATCTAGTCAGCATTCCTGTTTTCATCTAAGAATTAGTGAGGATCATTTTCACATCTGGCCTATCTTTTTAGGCTAACTTTTTGTATCCCAGCCATCATAATCGTGGGTTTTCATTTATGTCTTTTCTTGTAGGTATCTAAAGGAAAAGACTACTTGTCCAGAACAATGCTCCACCCTCCATGCTACATGCCCTATTTTCTCTTAGGTGTCATTGAGCATTGCTTAAAGAGCCAACTCTTTCCTGTTGGGACCATTAACATGGAGATTATTTTTTTCTCTTCCAAAGTCATTGGTGTCAAAAGTGGTAGAGCAGTTTATTTTTTAGCTCCTTCTCCTAAAGCTCTTCTGTTTGCAAAACTTGAACGTTTCTAGAGTTGCTATCCAGACTTCTGCTGATGGTATCATTTCATTTGTTTCTATGATAATCAGCTGAAATATGTTTTAATTTGTAAAAAAATTAATGAATAACTTTAGGGCATGAGAGCTTCCTGCTAGTTACAAATCATCCTATATGAGTGTTTCTTTGGAAGTTATTTCCCAGAGAATACTTCTGTTTTGAGTGAAAGTCATGCTGAAGTCTAAACACTCACCTGCCACAAATGGGTAAAGAATTGGGTAAGAGGCAGATCTGCAAAGTGACTTTAGATCTCCTCTGGTCTCTTCAGTGACTCACAAAAGTATTTCCAGGTTGAAAGAGTGATTGCTGAGTCACAATGAAGCTATTTTCCTTTCGGTACATGTAAAATAGCAGGGGAAACCTTGAGCAGGTAACCCATATAGTGGCAGCCCTAACTTGAGTTGAGTGGGCTGGCTGGGAGGTAAATTTAAAAATAGGTAAAGTATCCCGAATACACACATTGGCGCCATCATCTGTTCTTGTGGCATGAGGCAGAGGAAATGATCTTCATAGCCTCTAGTATTCAATTACATTATTTTTCCCCAAGGAAAATGGTAATAAGAAGTTTAAAAAAGGCCCCAGGAGGTAAATGAGTCCTGGAGATGAGCTTGGGTGGAGAATGGAGGAGTGAGAATCTCAAATGAGATCATAGTGACCTAAGAAACAGAGATCTCCTCCAAGGAATTTGGAAATGATCAGAGAAACTTATAAGACATCTCATGAAGCTGGAGAAATCCTTCTGGTTTGTTACTTCTGCATCTCTGCAGTCTGATGAAAATGCTGGTAGTTTATAAATTCTGTCATTGTGGGTGAAACAAGACTTTGATGTGTGTATTGTTTTTTTGTTTTGTTTTTGCTGCCTGCCTTCTTTCTTTCTTTTTGTAGACATTGTTCGAAGTGATGTTGCCTTAGATAAACAGAAAGGCTGCAAGATTGCCCAGCACCCTGATGTTATGCTGGAGCTCCAAAGAGAGAAGGCAACTCAGATGCATCTGGTTCTTCTAAAGGAGCAATTCTCCAACACTTACAGTAATCTCGTATTAACAGGTAAGGCTATGGGAGTTGGCGGAAACCTTACAGTGTTCAGTTGGCAACTTGATGCTTGGGGGACAGTAGAGTGGCATCCAGATGAGCTCATGTCTGTCTCTCCCCACCCACTTCTCTTGCTTTTTAATTGTGATGACTTGTCTTTCTATAACAAATATTTCTCATAGTTTACAGATGTATTTTGGCTTGAAGTTATGAGCGATTCATGTGTTTTCTTCTCAAAAGACAGAACCAATGAAAACCTAATGCTGTGTTGTACAAATATGACTTTCTAGATGTGTGCCAGTAGATTTGAGAGAATTACTAAATTTGGTGTCTTTTAAGAAGCATCTATTTTCCTCTTTCTGTGTATGTCCTTTCTATGAACCCAGCTAATAAAAAGATGAAATATAAAAGAGATAATGATCCTCAGGCAGAACTGAGAATGTTCTTCTCTTGGTGGAGATGGAAAATATCTGGGGAATTTGACTTTCTTTTTAAGAGCAAAGAGTCTATGAGGACTCTGTGAGCCATACTCTCTCACATCCTTGATTCTTGGAGGAGAGTGAATATATGTCAGAGCTGCGAGGAGAAACAATGTTTTGCAGGGTTGCCTGCAAACTTTGCTGGTAAAGAGCATATGAGTTGCCTGCCTTTCTCAGGCTTTGGTAAAGATTATGATTGCAGACTCCCGTGTGAGAAGCATTAAGGACTTGAGATGAACTGAGAAGAGTATTCCAAGTTACCTCTGTTTTCTTAAGATCATGCAAGGCAGACCTGCATTATATTGATCCAAATACACTTTAAAAAATCAAAAGTATTTGTTTCCTCTTATTTACAAATATTTTAAAAATGAAAAAAAGATGGATTGACTGACAGGCTATGAACATGTCACACTTATTTTTGTAAACTCTAAGTTAGGAAAAAAATTTTTAGCTTTATTAACAGGCTTCCTGGCATGTCACCAGGAATTGCTGAGTGGCAACCAAATTGTTTTGCTTTTAAAAAAACACAAGACTCTTCCAACTTTTCATTTTGTACCTGGTAGAAAACCCAACAGCCTGAGATGAAAGCCAGACTTAAATGTGGCTTTGGTGAGCAGAAAAGAGGATTATGGATTTCATAAGATTAGGCCCTGTTTTTGCTCTTTGATAGGTCATAAGAAGGGAAAACGTATTTATGGGCAATGCATTTATTTTCCTAAATTAGTTAGTGAAACTGGGCTTAAGTTTAGATGTTTGGGAAGAACATAGATTTTTCTTCAATTTTCTTGTCTCCCGTGTGTGTGTGTGTGTGTGTGTGTGTGTGTGTGTGTGTGTGTGTGTGTAGTACTTCCAATTCAAAAATTGGAAAGGAAATCTATTTTTATTCCATCTTTATTCTAATATTTTTAGGCACATATTAGAGGGTCAAGCCCTCTAATGTTCTTTAATGTGGCATGGAAAGGGCTTAGGGTAATTCTAACTTTAAACTTCAGACCCAGAGTGTGGCTTGAAGGCATATTATCCTTGAAAACACAAGTGTTCTATTGAGTTCAATGGAATCTTTTCTAATTCTCAGTAACATAATCCCTTTGGATGTTTATTCGCAGTTCAAACTGTTGGAATCAACATTGTCAACTTTTACCCTGACAACTTGCTTACTTTCTACTAAACAAACTTACCCTAGAGAAGAGCCTCTTTCCTGCTCTCACTTCTCCCAAGCTGCTTCAAAGAGTCCTCAGGCATTTTCCACATTTTTCACCCAAATGCCTGAGCAGAGGTGGTACCTTGCTGCAGACAGAGCATTTTGTGTGCCTGGGTTTGTTTACAGGAAAGTTCAAAAGTTTTTGGTTCCAGGTGTTGGGAAGAGATGGAGTCATTTCAGTTTAGCACCAATGGTAAAACTATTTTAATTTCTTTTAACTAAGTCTTTGATTTTACACAGTGTGGCTTTCTAATTGTTATGAAGTTCAATCCTTGATTTCGTATATAAATCTCGAGGACATGGTCTCCAGACAGCTAAACATAATATTTAAACATAACTAAACTAACTTTTGTAAATATTTCCCTTTTCGGTGATGAATGTATATTGGTAAGGAGGGTGAGGTCGAAGGGGCAGAGACCTCTCAAATGAAGTGACTTTCTTCACCAAGACATTCAGAACACCTACTCTAGGATTTCTCCTTGGTGATATTCCATTATTTTGTACAATTATGGCATAATATTTGAAATATCTGCAGTGAAAGTATTTACATGGGAATGCAATGAGGAAACTGGGCCGCTAAAATCTCAGAAAGAGATCACTTTTATACACTACCCCTTCCCCCAGTTATTTACAGAATTTCATGTCTATGGGTAGCAGTGTATAATAATTATTTTCTGGTCAGTTAGTGGTATATTCTTTATTTTAAAAATGAGACCAAAAAATCCCAGTAGGAAAAAAATTAAGTGATTGAGATATCGGATAGTTAAGCATGTTAAAAATGATAGCTGTTGAGCTCCACTTCACAAAGCAAAGCCTCATTCTCAGATGTCTCACCTTTACCTGATGTGACTGTCGGCTGTTGAGATGAGAGGCAAACCTTCATGTTTTACATTGCAGCTTATAGTCCCTCTTAAACAGCCACTGCTCAGACAAGGGCAAATGATAGTCTAGCTTGGAATGTCTGTTCGCCATTTAATAATAGAAGAAACATCTCTACTATTTTTAGTTATAGCCCAGTTAATGGAAACTAACATAAACGAATAAGCTTTAATACATATATCTTGTTGAAGTATTCCTCATTACATCATATTTTTAGAAAAGTGGATTGTTTTCATGTATTTTTGCACAGTTGTAAACTTGTCTTAATGTTTTCATGTGAACAATACACATGATATTGGAAATAATGTTAGCCTCACCTAGCCTATGGAGTTTTTAAAGTAAACTCTAATGTTATGGGAAGGTGATGGAGTAATTCCAGTAGAGCATCAGTGATGGAAATATTTTAAATAGTGATGAGTCGTGTGCTGCACTTTTTTCACTGACTTGCTGACACAGACATGTATGTTTGTCCTATAGTTTCTTGAGCCTGAGTGTATTCTCACTGCATTTCACTCAAGGAGTGACAAGTGAGAGGGAGAATTTGGTAGGGACCTTTATGAAAGAACCGGGATCAGATATCTTTTGCTTCTTTGTGCTGTCATGATTCTTAATAAAAGAATGCTGTAAATATTTGTTGGAAATGTTCTACTACATATATAAAGAATTGATTCACTTGAAGGCTACTTTTTAGGAATAAATTGACATGTATTAAGTAACTTTTACAGATCCAGATTCAGTTATTTGTCTTCCTTTATCTCATCTCCTTCTTGACTTTGAGGTGTAAATGGAGCTTTTGTGCAGTGGCTTTCTGTATTATAATCAAATGAAAAACTTAAAAGTTAATTTGGCCTTGTAGGGAAATACATTTTCCAGGATTTTATTTAGAACACAAACTGGAGGGCAAGGAATATAATATTCATGTAGCATTCTGGATTGTATGTAGAGCATAGTGAATGAGCCTAAAATGAAATCAAATTTCCAAAAACTTATTTGTGCTGCGAAAGTCATCTAGTCAACCCTCTGAATCCAGGCAGCTTGAACTGTAGCCATTGTAAGTGGATGACACTACTTAAGACATTTGCCAGTATTTCTTTATGAGGAGGACTCTTGTCATGTGATTAGCTGCCACTTTTGGTTTTGTGCCTCTTTCTTCAATCATTAGACTCCATACTGGACTAGGGTTTCTATAGTTGACTTTCCTGTGTTGCTGTGGCAAATAAATCGAGCACTTCCCTGTTGTGGCCCATTTTGTTAACTTCAGTTGAGCAAAAGTGCTCAAGTCAGTGAAACAAGAATTGTTCTTGCAGTTAGCACCAAGTATAGTGCTCAGGGGACTATTTTTAGGTAAGCATAAAGTGACAATAGCCAACAAGCACAAAAGATTATTGTGGATTCAAATTCTTCTCTTGAGTACTGTGACTTAACAATTGTGTCATGATTTGGCATTTTCGTGGAAATTTACAATAATTTCTGCCAACACTTGTTGATTTTAATTATACTTCAAAATTAATTTTATTAGTGGGTTGAATAAATTACTTTCACTCTCAAAGTGGTTCCTATAGCTTCTCAGTACAACGAGTCTACTTAATATTGTCTTTGAGGTTTTGGGATATCCACCTGCCTTCCTATTTTATTCATTCCCCTGTACTGATTTCCTGTACTTAACTGAATGCACTATAAACCTATCTTCATCTTCACAAATTGTACCATTAAATACACTGTAATTTCTTGCACTCTACCCCAGATGCTTGTATCAGCCTCATTTCTCTCATTTGCCAGATTAGTGTCACATTTGACATTAGTGTCAAGGGACAAAGACACATCTGCTTCATTGGCTTTCTGCTTTGTAGGGGGAGAAAAGGACATGTGTCTGTCAATGTGAACCTAGGTGGGTGTGGCTGGACAGACAGCGCAACCAAAACTCTGTCCCAGCAGATCATTTAATATCAGGTTACCCTCCACCCTGGCATTTGTAATGTTTAAAACTGACCTTGAAAAGTGATTAGTGTGCAGCATTGAATGCTATTTCTTTGTATGTTTATTAACATACTGTAGAGTGATATGGACTATATCATCGTAGAAGACTCTCTTAGAGGGCTAAAGATTGGGTTACGTACATGTATATGTATATCAAACTGTGATTCTAAACTTTGTGGGGAAAATTTTCAAGGTAAAAACTCTATACACTAGCCCCCTCAATGGTGAAAGATGTATTTGAGAAGTTAGCTAAGTGAAATCTCTGTACTACCTCATTTTTTTATAAGTACTCAAAATAGTAGGTGTCACAACTATTCAGGCACACATGATGGGATTTTGAGTGTGCTTTTGAAGTAATGTGTATATAAGCAACCTTTCTTAAATGATGATTGTGGTTCTGGAGCTCAGAATTTCTGAATCAAAATTAAGGAGTTCATTTCAAAGTCTTGTTTAATACAAGTGAGTTTTCAAGGTCTTTA